GATCTACAGGGAGATGTTTACTCTAAAATAGCCAGCTCAGAAAAGAACATCTAGAAGAATCAATTTGCTGGAGAAGTTGATTTAATCAGACTGATTAAATGAGGTCTGAATATTTCACAGGCAGTGGGGAAAAGCTTGTTTCTTGTCTGGGACCTAAATTACCATCCAGTGACCTGCAGGCTCGAGTTTCTCTTGCTATGCACTCATCACTGAAGCAGACACGGGTGGTAACACATCGAGTCAAGGGTAAAATTCCACGAGGCACATTCACTCTCCTGTCTTCACCCTAGACTTTTGAAGGGAAACTCCCCTCTCCTTCCTCTACACACTCTGCACCACTGCCTCAACCAACCCCACCTCCAGTAGCATCACACATTTGTTCCTTGCAAGAAAAGCAGCTTGGAGAGTTCTGCAAAGAACAAGAGAGAAAAGTAGGGCAGCCTTTCCCCAAGCACCACACTCAAATCTGCAGGAACATAGCATCAGACACTTGCAATGGCAAAGGGAAGGGCTGTGGCAGGTGCCACAAGCATCAATCCGAGGCTGGCCTAAATGACTAGAGGCACTGCACTCATCTACAACCCATCCTGAACCATTTGCTCAGCTGGCCTGAAACAAATACAGCTGCGAGGGAGAGTTTACATGTATGGCAACTCAAGTTCCAATTAGCTGAGGAAATGGGTCCTGGGAGATCAAATTATTTTGTGGCAGCAGGAAGATAGTTAATTTAGCATGCTCAGACAAGCAATTATTTCTTTCCCTAAATACCACTTTCTCCATGTGCTGATACCTCTCCACACTGACCCACAGTGGAACCTTGTAATATCATTTGTGACAGTCTTTTAGAAGCTGTTCTGCAGGGAGAACAATCTGGGTTTGCTTTAGTTAAGTGAGCAGAAGAAAAAGCCACGAGGACAGATATAAGAGGGTTGCTGGGAGCACACATGGGATTGCAAAAGCAGGCCATGGCCTTGTACAGCTGCTGCAACACCTTAGTCCCAAGCTCCTCACAGTCTGACCATCTGATGTGCCACAGGAGAGCTACAGCAGGAAACAAAGAAACAAAACCCCCTTTTTTTACTGTGAGGGTGACCAAGCACCAGCACAGGCTGCACAATCTCCATCCTTGGAGATACTCAAAGCCATTTGCACATGGTCCTGGGCAACCTGCTTTAGGGGTCTCCCGTTAAGCAGGGTCTTGGACCAGGTAATGCCCAAAACGTCCCTTCCCACCTCAAGCATTTTGTGGTTACATGAAAAAACTCATCAACTCATTCTGATACAGAGGGCCTGCAAACAGCCAGTACCTACATCTTAATTATACAGCAAAGGGATGTGGTAGAGCTGCTTTTGCTGACTTCACACAGGCTGCTTTCCCAGCAAACAGAGGGAAGGTTTCAACTTTCGCATCAGACTGAGATCTTGGCATTGACCGCAACATCTGAGAAGAAACCTGTGCAATGGCTGACAAATGATGGTTGGTTGGATCGTTGATGGCACCTACAGGCCATGTGAAAAGTCTGGATTAAAAATCTTTTCCTTGCATTCATGTTTCAGTACTTCGACAGTAAAAATCCCAAAGCCCCTTCTAGCAGAAGGGTAGGCAGAAACAACTGACTTAGGCAGAAGCAACTTGTGTTCTTATAAAAAGCAGCAGAGTAGGCACCTTTGTGGGCACAAGGTTTAGCTATGCTTGGGTTTTTTAATCATGGCCCGTTTTCAGGATGAAATGGAATTCTTCTGTAGTGAATCAGTGTCAAAAAGAAAAATCCTTATCATTACTTGTCTCCCACTCGCAGGAATGACAGTGGGAATGCCAGTCACCTAGAGCATGACATCATCCAGCTTGTTATTTCCAAGTCTGGTATGGTAATTTTATCCCAATTTTACTGCAAGAAAGACATAGTTTAGGCTTGCTTTTTATTAGGGAAAAGAAAAACTTACTAAGAGCAGGCAGGCAGGCTCCTGAAGTTATTAAAGATTACCACAGAACTTGCCTATTACCTGATTAGGGCAAACTACAGAGTTAAACTGATGCCAAGAATACATACCTAGTAAGCAAGCAGCGGTTCTGCAGGAACTGTTCTGGCCCTGCTTAATATTTCAGCTTGTGCTGCTCTGACAGCAGCAACTTTCACAGTTTAAGAGGCCTCTGTATGTAGACCAAAGGAGTACAGTGGTTTTGTTCAGGGCACTCTGTATCTATCTGTGTTAGATATACAGATCCTGCATTTCTGCACTTTCTGTAATTGTTACAGATGCAAGACAACCAACAAGCTGTTAAGATTTATTCTTATGAAGGAGAAACATCAGCATGTAACAATACATCTTATTTTATTTATATGCCATCAGCAGCACTGCCGTTGCAGGAGCTTAAAATAAACTGAATGGTCGCTCGTATTTACCTTCTTCGATAAGCTTCTCTTTGTGATCCTGTGGAAGAAAGAACATTCATCATCATCCTATTAAAGAAGTTTCAATCAACCTGGGTAAGAGAAAAGCAGTTCTAGTATTTCAGCACGGACTATAGGAAGATGGCATCGTATGTGAGCTTAAGGGTCTTTTCCAGCCTAAATGATTCTATAAGCACAAACTTAACAGCTGATGAGGTTAAAAAGTGAAAAAGAGCAAGGCATTTAGCTTCACCTCGCTTCTGAGCTACAGAAGACGTGCTCAGATTGACATCTCTGCAAATTCAGCCGCTCTCACAGGCCAGCAGAGACCAATTCCTTCAATGTACTTTTCACCTAACTGGTTGTGTCGCAGTGAATTTAGACATAGTCTTTACCTCCTCCTTCTGGCTGAACAATCCAGTTACAAAGGAACTTTGTAGTAACTTGCCCAAATATACCTGTGTTAACATTCAGCCCATTTGTATCTCACCCTGCAGTCACCGACTTTGCTGATAAATATTGTTACACTACAGACGCTACAGATACTGTACATACCACCACAAAAAAACCCCAAACATCAGTAAAGGAACTGGAATAAAGGAAACCAATTTTTTCTGGGGACTAGATTGAAGAGTTCATCCTAAATACTCCCAGGCAATTGTGGCTGGATTTCACCCACACAGGTTTATTGTGAAGCACTCACATGCTAAGCCCCACTTGGTGGCTAAACCCCACCTGGTGGCTTCACATACAAAACCAAACTACCATGACAAAATACTGTGGAGATGCTGAAGTCTCAATAACATTTCTGTCAACATGCTCAGTGTGTTTCCTAAAACCTGCATTTTTGATCCATCCTAGCAAACAATGTTCCCTACAAATATTCTATTAACTGATGTTTGTGCTTTCTGGTTTATGACTTGATCTAAAAATACTACTTTTGTGCAAAAGAGTGAAATAGCCACAGATTCACTAGTGAAAACAGCCACTGTCTGCCCATTACACAGCATTTTCTTATGTATGTATATAGCTGAGTTTCTTCAGAATTGCTCAGATTCTGAAGTCTGCATTTCAGGAGTTAGACCAGAAGTGAGATAAACCTTCCAACACCTTAACCATGCTGCTGAGATCAGGCACTGTAATCAGCACAAGTACTCCTCCCCATTTGCTTCATGAGTTTAGAGAAATGGTCAAGCATTTACAGAGACACTGTGAGGTCTGTTACCCATAAAGCGTAGCTACTGCAGGTCAACAGCTGAAAATAATGGTATTTTATGATTAATTTGTACTGTCAGTGCTAGAGAGAGCTTTATTGTAGCAAAATACCTTGATCGTGGAAACTGTGACTGGTCATACCCCTGGGTACAATAGAGGGCTCTCAGCACAACAGGACTCTGCAGCCAATTACGAGTCTTTGAGACAGCAGGCTCAGTATCAACCTTCTCTCCCTCATTATTTTAACGGTATTAATCATTCTCAGGTGCAAGAGGATTCCACCCATTCAGTCTCCAAACAGATCTTCACTTTACACTGGGCCGTTCACTAACATACCACATTGCCAACTCACCCTTTCAAGCTTGAAGACCGCAGCCCAGAAGAGGAGAGGGCACAGGCCAAAAACAAGCCCTAGGAAGGACGTCTTCGGTGTCGGGCGGAAGGTAGGGTACACGTTCTGCGTCCTAGCGTAGACCCAGCGGATCATTGCAGGGTTTTCCTGGGTGGGAAACAAACCCCACAGTGAGGCCCCTGCTCACCTCCGCGCAGCCCCTTCACCCACCGCTGAGGCCTGCAAACCCAGGCCGGAAGGACCCCAAGGTCACGGGGAGCACAGAGCAGCGCCCTGCCCGCACGGCCCCACGCCGGGGACACCGGGGCGCTGCGGACAAGCCCCTTGTTTCCCTGTCCCCGCGGCCCCGTCCCCACTCACGATGACGGGCGGAGGGTTGGGGTTGTTCAGCTGCAGCTGGTACTGCCGCTTGAGCCGGGCGCGGATAGCTAAGCGCTCGGCCTCAGCACGGCGGCTCTCCGGCGGCACGTCGAAGGTGCTGCGGTCGAGCTCGGTCGGCAGCGAGACGAAGCGATTGGGGTGGTAGCGCTCGGCCGCGGTCGGGGACGCCTCCGACCCCATCTTGGACAGACGGCGCCGGCCGACGGGAGAGACCCGCCTCTCCTCTCCCCGCCCCGGCCTCCGCGGCCGACACCGCCCCCTGGCGGCCTGGGGGTGCTGGTCACCCCCTCAGCCGTGCCTGGGCAAGGCGGGGGGGGGCCGCCATGGGAGGTTGGTGCTTTCCTGACCCCAGCAGGTTAAGCGGCTGGGCCCCTCCGCTCTGGGAGGAGCAGGAGCTCCGAGGCAGAGCTGAGGTCTGTAAGGGGTGTTGTGCAGCCCTGGGGATAGCGGGGTGGTCATCACTGTGATCTCTGTCACAGCCTTAAACCGTGCACGCTGACACAAAGTATTTGATCTCTCAGCTGGGCTGGTTCAGCCCGGAGAAGAGAAGGCTCCTTAAGGGCAGACCTTACGGCAGCTCCCAGTGCTTAAAGGAAACATGGAAAGGGACTCTGGACAAGGGCCTGTAGTGACAGGACAAGGGGAATGGCTTTAATCTGCCAGATGGGAGAGTGAGATGAGCTCTTAGGCAGAAGCTCTTCCCTATGAGGGTGCTGAGGCGCTGGCACAGGGTGCCCAGAGAAGCTGTGGCTGCCCCATCCCTGGCAGTGTTCAAGGCCAGGTTGGACACAGGGGCTTGGAGCAACCTGCTCTAGTGGAAGGTGTCCTTGCCCATAGCAGGGGCTGGAACTGGATGAGCTTTGAAGTCCCTTCCACCCCAAACCAGTCTGGGATTCTGTGCAATCATCGCTTTGATGCGTTAACCAAGGCTGTGCTCATTGGGTAAGCCACCAGAGGACCTTCAGGGTTACTGTGTGGTGGCTCAACACCCTGACAAACTGTATGGATAGGTTCAGAAATCATCCTCTGATGATGAACACGTGGTGAAGAAATCCAGCTCTGGCCTTTCGTTTTTGGCTTTGGGATATTTCTGTCTCATCGGTATTAAGAGCTTTGTTCTCCAGATGTGTAAACCATAGATACCGGTTGTCTTTCTGAAATAAACTTGACAGTAAAACAAGTTTTCTGCTGTTTTTTTCTTCTTTCACTATACAAAGCAATGACATCAGCTATTCTGATTGGAACCAGGTAAGTTAATGGCTGTGTATATATAGTTATGGCCTCATTTACCCTGAGGTAACTCTACAGACTCAGGTAATGTTGGATGAGGGATTACAGCTTGCTCCTAAGCACACACAAAGTAATATTGCTGGCTTTATTTAAGATGCTGTGCTTTGGCACTGAATAATGGAGCAGAAGCTCTGCCTTGCATCTTGTGATTTCACTCGTCTTCTACCTCAGCACTTGGAAGATAGGTAATCTCCTTTTGGTCTGAGCAGCTAATCGGCAGTTGGGGCTTTGTGACTTGTGTCTAGCAGGATGAAAGACAAGTTGGACATCCCTGAGCAAGACCCCCACAGCAGGAGGTGCTTTTCCCTCTCTTAAGTCCAAGCCCACAGTACTCTCAGGAGCTCTCTCCTGGTGTTTCTCCAGTTTTCCCACCCTCATTTTCTTCACAAACAAGCAGCTGCAAATCCAAGTGAAAACCAAGCTGCTTCATTCACAGTCAGCTCCCGTGGAAGTGCTTACATGCCCTGTTGCTTTGTTTCCCAGTGCTTTCAGCTTGGGATAGTGGGTCCTGTTGCACAGAGACGTTTACTTCTTTTCCCAGTTTCTGACCATTGGATTTAGTGTGATCTGTGTCTCTAGCTCCATGATTGCCTCTCTCCCTAAATGGCATGTGGAGAGCTACTTTAGCAGCACAGTACACATACCAGCAGCACTGCCATGTGGCTCTCCTATGGTACTTCCATCTCTGAGGGCTCCCAAAGACTTGGCAGCCTGTGTTTCCCTGCATGTGCATGGCCTGCTTCTTTAAAAGCTGATCCTCCCTGCTCTTTATTTCTTAATAAATAGCACATGCAAGATAGAAGCAGAGAGATTCCTGGCAGGAACAGGGGTGCAGGCTGGATTCATGTACTGGGAAGAGATAGCTGCTCCGTGGGAGTCGGGTGATGTTCCCCTCTTTGCTCCATCACAGAGTGGAACAGAAAACTCCTGCAGATCTCCCAAAGGATTTTGAAACAGCCCCAATCTGCTGTGTCCTGAGGTGTGTCTGTAATGGTGTGGGACAGTTCCTGTGGGAATGAGCAAAGATGCTCTTGTGGTGTTCAGCTCACAGGCCTGGTGCAGACTCTTTGTGATCTTACCTGAGCACATCCAGGCTGTGCCTTCTCCCTGTTCCTGAAGCTCTCAGCTGTGAGTGTGCACACTTGGCATGCAAATAGTGCTGAAATTAATTCTACTGGGAGCAAAGGAGAAGGTGCAAAGCTATATTACCACTAACAAGTAACGTGCTGTATTAGAAATGGAGCAGCCAGCCACGATGCTGAAAACACCTTTGTATTTCATCTCTAATTACTAACTCATCCTCCCTCCCAAAGGATCTAGTGACTCACGAGGAGTCTTTTCTGGGAGATGGGATCACCTCTGTCATGGGGTAAGAATATAACAAGATTCCTTCCAGAGAAGCATGTTCCCTGACACTCAAGCCTGTGTATTGCAATCAGTTGTTTTCACTCCTCCAGAGGTGATTTTGTGCACTTTATTCATTTCATAACAGCCATATCTCTAACTTTAAACCACCGTGACTTAGCAGAAGCCTGACACGCCGGTAGTCAGTGTCTAAACCTTGCATAAAGCAATGCAGGACAAAGACAGGAATATTGCAGTCAAGGCACTAGACTGAAATCAGTGATTGTTTTTTTCCCTGCTGGCAGGAGCTGCTGCACACACTGAGAAAAGTTGTGGTGACAAACTGGACTCCCCGGCAGACCACCTGCATCATCTGTTCCTTCTGGGCCACGCTATGGCAGGATGAGCACAGCCTGGCTGCTACTGCAAACCACCTGTGAAACAAAAGGTTTTGAGAGAACAGATAAGATCCTTCATATTCTTCTTTTTGCCAGCCAGATCATGAAGCTCCTTGGACTCTTCTCCTGACTTCTAGTGTTGACTTAACACAAGCAGAAGGAATATAAAACAGGCATTAGTGAGAGTGGGGCCACTCTCACTAGCGCAACACAGATTTGAGCTACAATAAGCTGGTCATAAAACCATTTCCTTGTGGGCTCCAACAATGAGGCTTAAAGGGTAAGACCCCAAGTGTTTTTCTTCTTTTTTAATCAGGACTGAAGGTTACTGAACGTTTTGGGGTTTTCAGTATTGAATTGAATTGACCATTCTTATACAAAAATGCCCTTGAATTTTACATCACCTGTTTTCTTTGTGAACAGCAGTCACCAAGATAGAACCAGTCAAGAAAATTAATCTTTGCCCAGAGCCCTGTGGCAGGATGGCCTTGACTGGCTGCCAGGCATCCACCCAGCTACTCTCTACCTCCTCTTCCTCAGAAGGATTGGGGTAGGGCAATGATATGGAAAAAGCTCATGGGGTGAGACAAATACAAAGAAAAGCAAAACCTACATACAGAAGCAAAACAAAAAGAGGAATTCATTCACTACATCCCATCAGCAGGCAGATGTGTAGCTACTTATGTGAAGCAGGGCCTCAGTATATGTAGCAGTTGCTTGGGAAGACAAGTGACATCATCATAAATGTCCTCCCATCATTCTTTTTTTCCCTCAGCCTTTATTTCTGAGCAGATGGGCATCATATGGTATAGGATACCCCTTTGGTTGTTTGAGTCAGCTGTCCCAGTTATCTACCCTCCCAGCCTGTTGCCTATCTCCAGCCTACAGAATATGGGGTGTTGGAGGAAAAGCCTTGACACTGTGCGAGAACTGCCTGGCAATAGCCAAAACATTGGTGTGTTACTTATGCTACCCTAGCCACAACTGTAAGGCTGCTGTGAAGAAGGTCAGCTCCATCCCAGCCAGACCCAGTACAAAGCCATCTTGAATACTGTCCTACACACCACTGGATTTCTGAGAGCATGCCCATCGAAATTACTCTGAGATCAGGCACACTTTGGTTGAAGCTGCAAATAACTTCCACCTTGAGTTTAAAGTAACCCAAGATCCTAACCTTCAGTTTAGACCTGTATGATTTTGTGGGTGACTTTTCAGTCATGCTCCAAAATATACACTGGCTGGATTGGTTTGGCTGTATATGCAAAGTCCACAAAGTCTTTTCAGAGTGGCCATGTTAAGTGACTGTGCTTTAAGTGAATGAAAGGAAAAATTACCTAAATCACAGACCTGTCTACCTATCTCTGAGGTTATTGTGCATGATGCTTTCAGAAGACAAAGGTTAAATGTGCTGTCATCTTGAAAAATACTTATGTCTGTCAAACTTGTGCTGAATACTTGTGGTTGCCATGTTTGCATCAGTTGTCAGGATGGCCCAGTTGTTGCTGGGCTCTGTTTTGAATTCTCACTGACCTTTTGCAAAGAAAGCAAGCTGGAAAACAAGGGAGAAGCTGACAAGATCATTCACATCACAAGGAGGTTTCTGAACATAGGTCTCTTACTTCTAATTCCCACATGTAATGGGCAAGAAGGGTCATTTCAAGCGTATGAATACTGATGTGTGTGCTGCTGACCTTCTTCTGAGGTGAATCAGTAGCAGTCATTCATCTGCATACATACATTCATGGTAAAAATACAGAAGGGGAGCAGTGTGAAAGGTATAAGGACAAGTTTATTGGCTCAGAACAAGCATGTCTAAATGCAGCACATAGCTATGTTAATATTGTCCAGATACATGTCATTCATTTTGTGTTGAGAACTGAAGTCCCCAGTATCTTTATCTTACAGTTGTTTAAAGGAAGCCTGGCACACAAAGGAAGGAGTTAGCATGGTTAGGGGAGTTATGAATAGTCCAATTGTTATTTCAGCCAACAGGCCACCCATAAATGTGTATCAAATGTTGAGCTCCGCAGGAGTTAGTTACAAAACTAGGACACTTAATGAGTCATGAAGTGCCAGGAATAATGAGAGATGGCATTAAACAAACCATTTCTGCCTCTCCTGGGCTTGTCCAGAGATGGTGACAAGAAGGCCAATGCTGTTTCAGCTTTTCCTGCTAAAATCATATTTGTGACTTGCAGTGAATGATAGCTGTGGCTGAGCTGCCCTAGCTGGGGAGCTAGTGCTGCCTGGGAGGCTCTGGTGGAAGAGGAGAAACTGGCAGTGAGCATCTTTTCTCTACTCTTTTGCAAGTCATTGATTGGAGCATTTTGTAACATCATTTTCTTAGCTCCTCGCAGGAGAGGCTATTAAAAGTCACATAACGTTGAGGAGCGGGAGGGAAAGAGGTCTTAGAATAAAGTATGATGGTAATTAGAAAGCTGAATATCTGAGGGTAAATCCTGTTATGGCTAAGTGTTAGAAGTGCTTTACCAGCTAAGGGGTAAGGCTATTCTCAGGCTTCCCCTCACGATGGCTATCAGGACCTAGAGTACAGCAGCAACCTGTCATTCCCCTGACCAGCCTCCTCTGGACTTCCATCACCCACTGGCCCTGGAGCAACACTGAAGCTCAGCCCCTTGGCCTTAGCTCTTGCCTTAGCTGTGTCAAGCGTGTGTTGTGTCTAGCCTTGGACTGAAGTGGCTCAAGTTCCAGGCTTGACCTCAGACCTTCTTTGTCACTTTGCCCTTGCTTGGACATCACTGGACTCTGGCTGAAGGCGGTTATTGCCACTGGACCTGCCCTGATGACCTTGTTTGGCTCCCAGTTTATTTTCCTTGCCATCCCTGGACTGCACTGTCACTCATGGAGCCCTGCTCAACCTCATGACCATAGACAGTGTACATGGCACCAAGGGTGGACTCACATTGATGCCAATAAAAATTCAAAAAGCCATTGTTAACAAAGTCAGTGAGAGAAAACTCAAGTTTCCTCTCATGCAGGCTAAGGGGAGGCACCTTTTCTGGGCTGCTGCTCCCGATGCAGGTCACTGCCAGCAGATGATGTTTCTATTCTCCCCATTTCTCCGCATGTGTTTTGCTCTGCCTGCAAAAGAATGGATAGATCTGCCTCAGTAAGTCTGAGTATTGGAAAAGTAGTGGTGCCCACTGTGAACACTGCCTGCATCTCTCCGACACAATGGAGGGAGTTTCAGGTGGTGAGTACTCGTACCCTAAACCATGTAGAAGAGGCTGTTAGCCATTCCCTGGAGAGCCTGTCTTTCCTCATGGGCTGTGGAAAGAGTCTAGTTTAGCCCAGATACTTCCCACTCCCTGGAGTATATGGGACAGAGTGCTGTGGCTCATGTAGCCTGGGGCCAAATGTTACACAGCCTTTATTGTACTTGGAGGATCCTCCTTTAAGTTCTGCCCAGACCCATGGGTGAAATCCTGGACTTGATGATAGCAAAGGAGAGCCCTACAAAAAGATGGCTCTGGCCCACAAAGCTGTCAGATTCCCTGCAATGCTTTACTTGAAGTTACCCCCTCAGTTTAGGAGAATTTCCTTTCACAAACAAAATCAGAGTGTGAGGAAAAGGCTACTGTGCAAAAATCCATCCAGAAGTGGCCACTGAGACTATAAACCCCAGCAGAAGAGGTTATGGGGTTTATAGTATATGGGTATACTATAAACCCCAACAGAAGGGGTGTATGGGGCTTATGAAGAAATACAGGGCCCCAACAGCTGCTATGGTGTCAGGGACTTTGCATGTCCTGGTGGCGTCCACTCATGAATACAGTCTTGGAGGAAGCCGCACGTTTGTGGAATCATCCAGTCCAAACTTCTCCACAGCCTGAAATTCATTTTTAACTGGAAAAGGAGCAGGTCTTTATAGACAATAGCTCTTTAAGAAGTTACAAATTTCTCTTTTGTACAGGAAGATACTCAAGCCCTGCTTGGGGGGAAAAGAAACAACCAACCCAGCCTGAAATCTGATAGATCAGTCTTGAAGGAGAGGCAGCTTCATTGTACAGCTACATAGAAAAAGATACTCACTTTGCTTTATGTATTTTGCTAGAAGTCTGGAGCTTAAATTTTAAAGGAAGTCTGGGAACACACTGTGAAGCAGACCATCAGTATGAATAAAATATGGTAGCAGGAACATGTTGAACTTAAGAGTGACTGTGTGGCAATCTCTGTATCACAGTGGGGAATTGCCTAGTTGTGGCAATGCAGTGTGGTGGGGTTTTTTTGCTCAAATCAAAGACAGAATACAAATGAGGCTGTTGCTGCAGAATGCCAGCCAGTGGGAAAGATACATGGGTCCAGGCCCAGCCTGGGTATTTCGGTGTTTAAAAACAGAGATGGCAATACTAAAGCCTTAAACTTGTGACCTATAGAGGTAGGAGGGCAGAGCAGCTCTTTCCTGGGCTTCCATTATCATTGTGTAAGTCAGGAACTTTAAACAAGAAATAGCCCTTAGCACTGCTGAGCCCTGTATCCATCAGGCTTCATCTGTCTTGTTGGGGAGACAGGGTGATGCAGCTGCCAAGGTTAAAAATTGCCTCTTATCTTAGCAAACAGGTATGCTCTTTGGATAAAACACTTCTGTTTACATGGCATGTCCCCTTAATCCAGCCACTGTAACTGTGATTTGTGACCCCTACAGGAAAGACTTCTATCTCTGGTGTGGTCCTTGTAGTGCCCTTTACATACAGTGCTCCCCTGCTCTCCTGCTGCCCCTCACTCCATCCCCTTCTGTGTGTCTGCTTGCCCCATACTCACTTGCAGATGTTTTTGCCTAACCCAGACCTCTCCTCCCAGACTCCCACTGATGCTGAGGGCCTTTTTACCCCACAAAATAACTTCAGCTTCCTCTGCCTCATTCACTTGCTGCTTAGTCTTTTCCCTGCTTTCTCCTGATGATAACTCACTCACTTTTTCCAAGCATCTTCACAAAAAGATCCAGTCGTGGGGGCAGCCACTTGCAAAATGCTTAGCAGATGGTAACTGCTAACCTTGTAGTACTCTGCTCCCTGTTTCCTTTTGTCCTCTCTGGGTCAAGCAAGCTGTACACAGCACATTGGCAGCCAGAACATTAATGTTCTTCCTAATTTGCCTTCATTTACTTTGGGGTCTTCTGTGGCCTGAAGCCAAGGGAAGCACAAGCAGTTGTCATACGGTTTCGTGGTCCTCCTCAGTGCATGAGGGCCAGTCAAACTCAGTTTCTGCAAGCAGCCTTTTAGTTTTACAGACCAGTGTCAGGGTGAATGCAGTGGAGAAGGACCGTTTCTGTACAGGTACCTTGCATGGCTGATCTTTCCTTTCTTTGTGTGTCATTGAACCATCTGGAGTGAGTTAGTCTTTGCTCAGGCACAAGCATGGTATCCCCACCTTCTGTTGTGTTAGTCTTGCTCCAAGCTGCTCCAGGGAGGCAGCTCCCTCTTGCTCATGACATGGTCCACCAGTTACTGCAGTGACTGGAGCTGCCTGCAGAACATGGTCACAAACTGAATGAGTTCAAGAGACATTGCAAAGACCAGTGCTGTTATGTCTGTATCAGTCTTTCAGAGCTGGCTGGGGTGCCTCTTCTGCCCGACCCATTAATAGGGAGGGTGCATTTCTCCATAATTTCCATGGGGACTGAACACATCGCATCATCTGAAGGAGCAAGGGCAGTGACTCACCCCTCAACATGCCTAATTTTTTCCAGGATAGTCCTTCACACTAAGGACGGAGTGAGTCTGGGATATACCCATAGGAGAAGGTAATATGCCAAGAGCTGCTTGTCTCAAATATAAATGAAAATTTGAAATATGAGAAATCACTCACTCTGTTCAAAGTCAAAGTCAACAAAGTGAAAGTGCTTTTCCTTTACAGTTGTGTAACTCCTCCCCAGCACAGAGCAAGACCCTATTTCCCATCCTTTTGCTTCACCCTGTGGAATTACGTGTACTCCTCGACCCTTCACTGTAGAAAGAACTTGGACAAAGCAGGAAAACTAAGCCCCTAATCCTCTATAAACTATGAAGCTTTGGTTTCCTTGTTCTTAGACATTAATTTTACAGATGGGTCACAGGTAAGATCTGTTCCAGACAGCAGCGCTGCCCTTTCGGTGGGCAATGATGGCAAAGGTCTTTCTTGCCTGCAGAGTTACCTCTGGCTGTACCCTCCCAGCTCTGATAGCAGTCAAGCAAATAGCTTCAGTTGACAGCTTATGGACTTTTATAGCATTTTCTCACAGTACAATCTCTTCCAAATACCAGCATCTCTGTCTTTTCTGAGCAGACCTATATTGCATCTGGCACCAGCTTTATTAAACATTGGATAAACCTGTCCAGTGGCTACATCTAGATTTGTTTGGGATAAATTGTTCTGACTTGCTGATCATGTAACATACTGCTCATAGACACTTCTTACATGCCCTGTGTGTAGTGCACAGGTACACAACTGCAAGATGTGCTACTGTGGTGAGAGGTCTCCTCTCTGGGACCTTTTGGAGGGAGAAGCTGACACTCAGTCTGTTATCTTGACCTTATTCAGAAGCAAATGGGCAAAAGTATTTCTTGGACTTAGAGTCTAGACAGCCACAGCTTTGATGGGTACTGAGTTTAAGCAGTTTCCTACAGAGAGTACTGGCCATTGCCTGTGGCTCTGAGGCCCTGGGGCAAAGCATGCAGCCCAGCTTCCTTCAGGAGGATGTCCCTAGCAGTTTAGAGCTGATGATGTTATCATTGGTTTATCCTTGCCTGATACCTTATTCTTGGAGGAAAGAAAAAGTCAGGGCTTGTGTGAGATCTCCCTTAGGCAGAACGTTACTTGATGAAAGCATAGATATTTCAAGGTGACTTCTTCTGGCAAAGGATTATTTTATTGCTTGAGAGTTGCTTGTTGTTTGTATGCTGTGGCAGTGAAAGGCCAGGATGTGACAAAGAAGGGGTGGTCATTAGTCCAGGGGCAGAAGCGAATCACCAGCTCCACAGCTGGGATTGCCTGTGTGACACTGCTTACACCCTCCTGCTTTTATGGCCTGACCCTCTCTCAGGAACTGAGGTTTCTGGATCCAGGACTTCTGAAGGAATCATCAGTATTTCCTAGCACCGCGGGGTACTGCTTGAAGGCATGGTAGGATAATGGTGATGGTGATCAAAATACTCATGAAAACAGTCTGACAGGGTTTTCCCCAACAACCCCTTTCACAGCTTTTCTGGTTAGATGCAATATTTCAGTTTTGTTTGGCAGAAACAGATGCACCCTCTCGCCCTTCTATTAAAGAAACAGTTTTGTTTGTTTATTTTTCACCTCCCTTTTTCCTCCTTATCCCAGTTGCTAATGAAAACAGGGGAGTAAAGATGGAAAAGTGAGAGAATTAAGAAAAACTATTCAGGTTTTGTTATTTTGAATAAAGTTTTCCCAGCAAACCCAGAGATATCATCGTTCTCCAGGCTTCCTCAAATCAATCCCTGCTCCACCGGTGTCCCTGAGGGCAGCACAGGCAGACTAGCATGAGCAACCCAGAAAATGTTGGCTCCTGGCAATATCCCTGGCTGTTCAGAACTGAAGAAAAGCAATGGTATACAGCAAATCCCATTGATTTTCTTAAAAATTATCCATAACTGGTGTTTCACTTTACAAGGTAACTTTAGGTGAGGATCAAAGCTTCCTGACACTCTCCATGTGCTGGTCTGGTAGGTGAGCTGCAGTCTGGCCAGGTTTGCTGGAGCCTGCTTCGGGAGGATTCTTACTGATGTGAAGCTTCAGCTGCCTTTCCTGAGCTGAAATCAATGGAGCTCTGCAGAAAGCAGGAGGTGAATAGCAGTGATGCAGCAAAACTGTTATTTAGGAAAGGAGATCCTTTCTGCCAAGGTTCATACTGCCCTGCAGAGACAAAAAAGAAAGAGGTGGTATTAAACATCTTGTAGCTAAAATACTGCTCTTTATTAAGCTCTAGAATAGTAGTCAAGAAGTATGCACAGATGAGGGGAGGGAGGTTTGAGCAATGTAGTCCAAAGCTAGTGTAATAGTGGAAAGGTTCAAAAAGGAAAGGATCTATGATCTAATTCAAGACTTAATGTATGTTTTCCAGAGGCGTCTCAGCTGCAGCAGTAAAAGCAGTAAGGATCAATAGTGGTTGTGACTGCTATGCTGGGTTTCAGCTCAAGGAAAAATTCCTAGAGAGAAAACATATAGGTTTATAATAGAAGCACTGACCAGACTGGAGCTGTGATCAGTAATGTTTCTCAAACTAAGCCAAGGGTTTCACTGATTCAGTTTTTGTTTCTTCTGACTTCTAATGTTTAAAAACAAGTTTTCATTATTGTAATCAGCAAAATCATCCAAAACCTGACAATGCCACTGTCGGAGACCAGCCATGTGTGTCTTATGAGGAACAGCAGTTTGCCAGCACTTCACTACCTGAAGTGGATTTGCATAAATCCTTTAAACACTCGTCAGTGAGAAATACAGCTGGGAAATTAGCCCTGAGTCCTCACAGAACATCATCTAGCCCATGCTGGGTTGGAAATGCATTTGTTAGTGAAAAGGTGGCCAGCTTTGCTGCAAGCTAAAGTCTTCTGTTTCACAATGGCTTTTGAAAAGCCCCACAGTAAACTGAGTAGGACTGAGCCTCAGGCTAGTGGAAGTGCAACCATGCACAGTGTTTCTTCGTTTTCTGTCAGTATTCCTGAACTCATCTTACTCTGACTTCCCAAAGGCATCACTAACATCCTATATTTTAGTCTATATTTTATTTATGGTAAAAAAAAAGGAAAAAGATGAAAATGGTTCTAATCTGTGGTTGCTCTGGTTGGATTTCCATTATCACCTCAAAGCAGAGGGTATGCTGGTTGTCACACTGTGCTGGCAGTGCCTGCGGAAGAAGAAATAGAGTAAAACCTTGTGTTCACTAACTGGCCTTTGCAGAAAATGATCCCTGTTGTGTTACTCTCTCCCCTGCATGTGTGGCTCTGAAATGGCAGTGAAGGAGGAGTGAGTATCTGGTTCAGTATCCAGCTTGCTTCCCACATGCAGGTCAAGCAGCAGCAAGCCTCACCTACCTATGCCGAGTCTGATGATGGGATGTTACTCCTGAGGGATGAGGCAGATGGTTATGACTTCCAGCAGAAAAGAAGCTGCAAGGTGCTCAGTGCT